CTTTTAAAATAGGGCCGTATCAATCACATCAGTGAGCCATCTTGTACTATTCACGTTGGGTAATCAGTCCTCATTCTATCATTAACTCATTAATAATATTATTTATATAATACAGTTAAAGCCATCAGTCCCCATTCACATATATTAGTTTTTTTTTTGTTTGTTGAAAAAGTGCACTAATTTGAAATTAGTGCACTTCCAATATTGATTTCTATTTAATAATTTATAATAATAAAAAATAATTTTGGATGAAATAGTCCAGTATACTTGCTCCTCACCAAGCCTCATCATCTCCATTTCAGGTGCTCATTTTTCTTCCTCTACTCTTCATTTTGCACCCTTTGCTCTTCAAGTGCTTCTTGCATGGTCTGTACCTCTCTTCATACCCCTCTTTGCTAAGTTACTATCCCATCCCAAGCACATCAACCCATGACACCCCAACTCCAAATCTTCTAAGTTTCTTCAATTCGTTTACTAAAATTAGCTTGCCCAAAATGCTTATATCAGTAAAAAATGGAGGCGGCTTGAAATGTTAGTTCAAACATCTCTAACTTTAAACTTTAGAACAAACTGATATAGAATTTGGCAGCTGATGAGTACCTGCAATTGTAGCATCATCCCATCCTTGTAGAATGCTACCAATTGTAGCAGCAATGGCCACCATCACATCTCCCCTCATCTTTTCACCAATGAATAAATGAGACCCCTAATATCAAACAAACCTGAAAGGAATATCACAAAATTAATAAATCATTTCCACCTAAGATAGACCCAAATCAAACTCACTCATAAGTAACCATTGTCACACCCAAAAACTCACGTGTAAGATCAAGGGAAAAAAAAGGAAATTAAAGAGCATACAAACAGCAAAAAACAAAACTTTGAAACCTTTATGCTAGTTCTGAAATAAACATTGAGGTTGAACAAAACCAAGAAATAATAGAACTCAAATTTACAACATGCTTCAAAACCAAACAATTGATACAAAAATAGAAGCAATCAGGAAATCCAACACAACATCAGCTACATAAAAAAAGGTATGTGGAACTAATTGGTGTAATTTTTTTTTTATTAAATTCCAAGTTCAAAAAGTGTTTCAAACTATTAATAAAAGTTTCATATGCTGCAGAAATCTAAAATTTAAGTTAGCTTGAAATTCCACCAAATATTTCATACAACTTAGATTGGATTTTCAAAAAACTCGGTTTAAGAGAAACTTGGACATATCTAAAATGAAATTCAAATACCAATAAAATAAATATGCAAGTAATAAGGAGAATCCAACCATTTCTGCTTACCCCTTCACTGAAAGATTTCTATACACTTCAACAAAATAAAAACCAGCAGATAAGCCAACCACAACATACACTACAACTATTGTTGACCAAACTTTACAAAAACAACTATCGCGCTCACCCAAAAATTTGGATATATCATTAATTAACAAACAGAACGAAGCAAGAAGGTAATAAATAATATTAACAAGCACCAACATCCATTATGTGGGAAATTAAATATCAAATGGGCCTTAATTTTGCCTAAATCAAGCGCCTGGGATGTAACATCTAAAAAAAAATCTTTATGTAATAGATTCAAAAACTAAGTGTTGTGTACAAAACAATGAGCAACCAACAATCAGATAAGAAGCTTTTTTTTTCAAGTTTTAAATAAATGAAAAAAAATGAACTACTTAAATCGGATTTGCTTAGAGATGAATTCTACAACTAGAGAGATGCAATATACAGCTTAAATCGGATTTTCAAGTTTCATTAAACCCAACGCCTCTTCAAAACTGATTCTTGCATAATCAAAAAATGAAAGCAGCTCATCACCTACTTTCCCTAATTGCTTTCTCTCACAGCAATAATTCAAAATAAATGATTTTATTATCTTTTACAAACAGGTTAGGCTTTCAAAAATTTCAAAATAATCACTTATAGCCTCAAATAAGCAATGCCAAACGGGCACTAAGGCGCGAACTAAAGATATTTCTGGAACTTTAATTTAGTCATTTGATTTAATGAATATTCTTTTCCCCGTCGGACTAAGTGAGTGTTGTTAAGTGTGGTTGTGGTCAAAACAGTTTTGAAACCCGTTTTGGATTGTTGTATGATTTGGGGGGCCGAGTGCTTAAAGTACTTGTGATTGTGTTGGGTTGTTAAACATCGTACGATGGAAATTGAGAAGTTATTTTATGTTAATTATGGTGGGCATGCATAATTGAATTCGAGTTCATTAATTTGCTTCGTTAAATCTCATTATTTGACTTAAGAGCCGATGGTGGTTCTGTTTTGAATTATTGAAGGCCAAAGGCCTAGTTCGTAAACTGCTTGAAGGTTAACTTGTGCATTCTGCCAGTTGTGGATATTAATTGTGTTTTAATATGTTGAAAAATATTGGGAAAAGTCCAATTTACAGGGGAGACTCTGTCGAATTTTTGGCAGAAATCAAACCCTAAAGAAACTGTGGTTTTCATTAGAAGAGCATTTTGATCAAGTGTGCTTGGCACCCACCAGGTGTCGGACACGCACAGGGTTCGACGCAGATTCCAAAGTGGAATTTGGATCGGGTCCTGTCAGTTATAGTTCTTAAGCTGCATTCTCTGCAACCAGTCTATTTTAAATATACCCCCATCACCCATCAGAAGGATTTGTTAGTTGTCTCAAATGAAACACAGAGTATAACAAATTAACCAAGCCAAGAAAATCTTACATGATCACAATGTGATTTTTCAGCACCATTGACAACATCTTTAAGGATGTTAATGAAAGGTGTAAAACCTATGCTTGGACCAATTAGAACAACAATGTCATACTTGACATGGCAGCACCATAGGGCCCATCAATGTGTACTTTGGGATAGCCCTTAACTCCAGATAATGTTGCCCGTAAAAGTTCAAAAAGAAAAATCCCTGTAATTCATAAGCTTTTTCCAAATTTTGATGAACTCTTTCTATTCAATTTTCCTAATTTTTACCTCTTGAAAAAGACTGTATATTTGATAACTCCAGTCTCCAGCGGTTCTAATATGCACACTTAGGTAGTCGTCTTCTGGTCTAGAAGTTAAGGAAAACGGGTGCGTGCGTGAGTCAACGAACAAAGAAGCGAAAGAAACAGAATTCAAAATCCATAGGCATCAAAGTAAATTTTAGTTAATTACATGCAGGACTCTAGAACAGATAAATGCTATAGTTTAAATGTACCATTCAAATAGTGAAATTTGAGGGCATTGAATGAATATGTTCATGCCACTCAGGTAGTTAAACCCTTGTGGTTATTAAATTGGAGGGACAAAACTTTTCCTGGATAAATACTTGCCTGCACGATTGTAACAAGAAAAGAAGTAAACAAAGGGTTGAATTTAATTCCCAACTAACTGCCATTGCAACAATTGTAGATTGATGAATTTTCAGAGTACTTACTTCAGATTAACAAGGTTAATGGTAGTATTGGCCTATTACCTTGAAAATTTCCACCTCATAAAATCCTGATCGTATGGCTCGAAATACTCGTTCTCCGGTATATAACAAAACTGGAATGGCAATATACATCCATGTCTGCTTAAGCAAATTCTTAACATTAAAACTCTATATAAAGGTAAAATTCCAAATATATGAGGACAAAATGAAGTTCAGTTTAAAGGCTTATTGTTTTTTCAGTTACATTGTCTGTAAGGAAGAGGAACATAGAGTGAAGAATGAACATGATTTAACATTAGAAAGTCAAGAAAATGTTCTTGAACATGATTTAACATGTTACAATCTGCAGAGTTAGATGCTCTTTATTTCTCAAAGAGGGTCATGATTGAATATAGCCCTGGTTTTCAGTGTCAAGCAGTTCCATGACTAAAGCAGCATAGTCTTTTGCTTCCTCATGGGTCAATGATAACTTATTTGTAGAAGCACTTAGTATAATGTCGTGCAGAAGTGCCCAAATTCCAAGGGAACCAGTAACCATGAGCACAAAAATAATGCTATCTATGTAATAATGCAAGTTTTTTAGACCTGAAATGGTGAAGTTATTTACAGTCATTCAGGTAGAAGAGTGCTTTTCATGAGAGTGTGACGCAGTTACCTGCTTAATATCTTTCTTAGTTATTCTTCTGTCCATGTTTTGGTCACACCTGAAAAGAATTACAACCTTAGAGAAAAAGACAATTCCAAAAGAAGGTAATTTTCTTGATGTAAACAATTGTAACAAGGCTTAAGCTAAGCATGTTATTGAATTATAATGAGGATTATTACAAGTCAAAGTAAATCCGTATCCTCGAATTGAAGCAAGGGTCAGTCATATGACACCAGTAACTATGCAGTTCGTCTTTCGGCATATCAACATTCCGATCCCTTGTTCCCCTTAGAGCCCTTAATAGCTCAATAGCAAACTCTGGCATCTGTTGCGTGCCTGCCGAATATGAACCAAAGTATATTATCAAAGAAGGAGCTAATATATTTTTAAAGATGTAGATGCATGCAACAGCCAAGGGAAATTATATGACAGAAGAACAATACTTTCAAGCTACTGCTACCATGGTAAATAACAACCATAGTAATTAATCTAAAAGAAGAACAAAAACAGTAGAGGCCCACCAAAAGAATAAAACTAATGCACACAGGGCAAGCCAAAGACAGAAAGAAGTCAGAGGAAAAAACAAAAACATTCTGCAGAAAACAAGCTACCAAAAATAGCAAAAAAAGAAAACTAGCTTCCGGATAAATGATGAAGTCATCATCATATGATATGAGCTCTCTCTCTCTCTCTCTCTCACATAGAGACAAACAAAGTATTCTATTGCTTTTGGATATTTCACTCTCAACTCTCAAATCAAACTCAGGTCAGGTATGTACTTCAAATAACCGCTTTAACTGCTTTTTTTTCTAATTCAATAAAAAAATTGAAATAGACCAGGTCAGGTATGCTAGGCTTGCTCACCTCTTCTCTCTTTTGTTCCAAACAAGCCATCTTTAAAATAGACCAAAAAATACAAGGATACAACAGTCACACCTCTTTACATCTTGTCCCAATTTGTAGGAGTTCCTCAGCATCAAATGAGATGTCGCTATTGTTCTTGGTGATGCTTTGAGCTGAATTCAGGTTTCAGGAAGCGGTAATCACTAATTGCTACTCCAGCTTCTGCATGTTTCTTCAGCATAACATCACCAACTTTTAAGACATAACCACAGTAGACTAGATACTCAGCAAAAACAATCTATTATAGAGCCTCCTCCCAATGACCTAAATATAGCGTGTACATAACAAACAGTCAAGGACCAAATTTGATGTATGAGATCTATTTGCTTGTCCATCTTACACATAATTTGATGAATATTCAATTTTGACATCTCGATTTGTAATATCATAAGAGATGTATTTAACATAGTTGATGCTATAATTTTAATTATTTATGAATTCTTCACGTGTGGTGTGAGATTCCAAAAGAACGAGTATCAGTTTAAATTATAGCATACCTGTGAACAGAGAAGAACAAAACTCGAGGATCCTTCCAGAACATCTTTTGAGTATCATAACTCAAAAGACTGATAATCCACTAGGATTGTGGATCCAATTCAACCTTCACGTCTTCGACTGACTGATAACTGATAGAATGGCTTAACCATGTTTCTGAGTTGCCAGCTTCCCCCATCTGTTAACTATATGGACTATGAATGAACGTCAAAAGGCTATATGAAATTTTAAGGAGCACTTGTAAAGTCAAATATAATTAAAATGGAGTTAATTTGTAATAGAAGTCAGGTTGATACACGAACCAATTTCTAAATGCAAAGGAACCAACTTACCAGGTCGTGGAAAAATCAACTCAACCCAATAACAAGGATAAGATATAATCACAAACGCAGCTCGCTACTAGTGAATGTGAATTAACTAAACAAATTCATAAAGGATTGATATTTAAAGATTAACATTATTTATAATAATGTCTGATCAATCACACCACCAGTTTAGATCGAGAGACAAACGAGTCTCTCAGTCCACTACAGCCAGATTTTGATACTGTGGGCCAGAGATGGCTGCTTCCATGACATGGTGCGGGCCAACTTCCCCATCTTTATCCAAGAAGGACTTGAACAAATTACTGGAGAAGCCACCGAGCGTGGCCACCCCTGGTCGCCTACGACAAGGCACGGGCACCCTGTCGTAGTGGTCTAGCTGCCAAAACACAATCTGTGGCACTGCATCACCGTACCCTTTCTCCTTAAAATTGCTTTGTATTGCCTCATAATCCGACTCCCAGCAACTACCACCAGCCCAATCAAAGTTTTCGTGACGGGTGAGCACAAATACCTTCTTGACCATCTGATCCGGCCTCAAATTCCCATCCACAGCCACTTGGAGAATCATATCAAACACTTTGCGAAAATCAATTTCCCTGCCGCAGACCATCCTCCCCACAGAGGCGCACTTGGACATGAGAGCATCATTGTCAATGTCATCCCCCAAATTATGCAGCTCAGGCTCTGGACTGAAATTGATCACCTTTCCTTTCCATGGCTCTTCACCCAGTTGAGACACCAGCACAGCCAAAGCCACAGACACATTCTTGAAGAGTCCACTCGAGACGTTACACGCAACCAAGCAGTTGCTGAACTTGCCCTGCTTTAAGTAGACCTCCTCCACCATTGCCTTCCACTGAAGCTCAGCCGCTTGTCCGACATCCCCATCATTCGCATAGCCTATGATCTCATGTGGAAGCAGAGCCTCGGCCTCAAGCTCAATCTTGGAGGCTTTCAAGTCCTCCTAATACTTTTTAATTGGGCAGCCCCTTCCTTGAGAGCCCTCAGAACTCAAGAACTCTGCCAAGGGCACCAGCACCTCCTTACTCAGCCGATCTCGGACTCTGTCCGCGTAGTGTGCCTACTGAAGCCCTTGGGATTCTATCGGAAAAACCTTCCTCGCAATGCTTTCACACAGCAGCGTGGCACGGTCGAGGGAGGAGCCGACGGGAGGGCAAAAGAAGGCAGCTGAGCTTAGTATCTCCTCCTGCTGCTTCTCCAAGTTTTGAATATCTTCCCTCAAGTAGTCCGCAAATATATCCGAAACCCAGTCGTGTAGGAACCGATAATCCGTGTTGCCGTTGGCCATGGCAATGGTATTATTTTTGTCTTTCTTACTGAGGCGGTAGAGAATCTCGACGAGGTCATTCATAGTCCCGACAGACTCGGAAAACTCGGAGACGATAGTGTCGGCGTTGCAGGCTAAAGTCTTGGGGTGGTTGTGATGGAGCCAAAGCGCCGCCCTGTAAAACGCTTGTAAATAGGATTTTCCGAGATCATAATCGTCTCGGAGGTTGCAGATGAGCTTGAGGGTGGTTAGGGAGTCGTGGGACCAGGCCAGCGGCAGCAGTTGGTCGAGATATTTGTAGGGGGCTCGGGTGTTTGGTAAGACGCGAAAATAGAGATCAAGGCAGGGGTTGCCCAGTGTTTTTGTTCTCTTCGAAACACTGCGGCGGAGAGCGGATGATTGGGGAGGAGGAGGAGGAGGAGCAACATCAGTTGTATAAGAAGCCACTAGTCTTCTTGTATTTTTTTGCTGGAACTCTAGTCTTCTTGTTGTCAACTGCGAAACTATAGTTTTGTCTGCTTTCACATCTGACAGGATTTCCGCTGGTTTCACCAGCATCATGCTCTTCATCATCATCATCATAGCGTAGCTGTCTCCTCTCCTATACACACAAGATAACATATGCAAACCCTATTCCTCTGACCCGTATTAAATAATGAGGGGAAGGCTGCTGGGCTGGCCTGAGCTGGGCCCTATTGGTATCCTATTCAAATTTGGGTGAAACTATAATGAGGGGCAAGTTATAAGAGCATGTCCACCGCTCCCTCAAAACCGGGCAAAAGGCAGCCCAAGCGAGCCCAGGAGACCTCCAGTGCGAGAGAAGAAGCCTGGGCAAGTGGTGGGTCCTAACAACCTTGGCAAGCCCACGGGCAAATCCTGACTGAGCTGCAGCCCAAAGGCGCTGAAGTCAGGCGTGACGTCGCGCTGAACGCTGACGTCAGCGCCTGACAGAACCCAACGGGAAAACGCCACGTGGCGCATCCTAGACGCTGCGATGGGTTTTTTCTAGAAATCCGACGGCCCTCATTTTTTTTGCCAAAAAAATACGAATTTTTTTAAAAAAATACTGGATTTTTTCCCTATAATCTTTTCTGAAAAATGATGGACATGTGGCAACCAAAAATCTTATCCGAAAATTTAATTCTAAAATGTTATTTGAAATTTTAGGTGATAATTTTATAATAAATAGTGACACGTGGCAACCGAAAATATTATCTGAAAAGCTTATCAAAATTAATAGTTTAAAGTATAAAAAAATTCAAACAAAAAAAAATATAAAAAAATAGGAAATAAAGTAGCATGAATAGTATTTGTCTTAGCCTTAGCCTTTTGGGGTGGAACCAAAAATGGCAAGGCTAGCACTATTCATGTGAATAGTGCCAGCCCTTACCTTGCCTTAGTCTTGCCTTAGCCTAGAGGGGTGGACATGCTCTAAGAGCAAGTCCAGCGCTTGCATCAAACCGACCAAGAGGCCCCCCAGGCAAGCCCAGCATACATCTAGCGCGAGAGAAGAAGCCCGGGCAAGACCTGGGTCCCACCAACCCGGGCAAGCCCACGGGCAAATCCTGCCTGGGCTTCAGTCCGAATGTGCTGACATTAGCGAGCCAAAAAAAATTCGAAAAAATTCGAAAAAAATTCAATTTTTATTTTTAAAAAAATCAAAAAATTATGGATGTTTTCCCTATAAATACATAACAATTTTATTCACTTTCCATACCAAATCTTCATACAAACTCTTCTCCTTCCAATATTTGTTACTTTCCACTCACATTTTTCTACTACTTTCCAATAAAAAAAAAGCATAAAATAATATGACTATTTATTAAAAATATTTGCACATCACAACAAAGATTAATTAAAAACAAACCTTCATTTATTGCAAACAACACACAAAATAAACCATAATTAAAATCTTATCCGAAAATTTAATTCAAAAATTTGATCCGAAAATGTTATCTGAAAGTTTAGGTGATAATTTTATAATAAATAGTGACACGTGACAACCGAAAATATTATCTGATAAACTTATCAAAATTAATGGTTTGAAGTATAAAAAAATAGGAAATAAAGTAAAATTAATAGAATTTGCCTTTGCCCTAGCCTTCAAGGGTGGAACCAACTAAGGCAAGGCTGCCACTATTCACATGAATAGTGACAACTCTTGCCTTGCCTTAGAGCAACTCCAACGAGCAGCCCAGGCCTCTATCTAGGCTGCCACTATTATTCACTCTTTACTCAACATTTTCTTCTCTTTCAAATTGTATTTTTATTTCTTATATTTATGGCTTCTTCTATCGAAACCAGAGGGGCGTGGAGCACCATGGAAGATGTTTCCTTATGTGAGGCTTGGCTCCAAATTTGTCATTGTCCCGTGTCAGGCAATGAGATGAAATTTTTTCATATGTGGAAAAAAATTCATGCCGAATTTTGTGAAAAAATTACGGGGTCAACTCATACGGAAATGGCATTGTCTAGTAGGTGGAAAATTCTCAATAAAGAGTTGGGAAAATGGAGGGATGCCTTGGCAAAAGCGATGGACAACCATAGAAGCGGGGAAAATCTTAGTAACGAGGTAAGTATTTTGTAATTTTCGTTTTATTAAGTTTAATGTCCTAATATATATATTTTTTTAATGTTTATTGCATTTTCAATATTTTGTTAATATTTCTTGCATTTTCAATATTTTGTTAATATTTCTTGCATTTCCAATTGTTTCTTAATATTACTTGCACTTCCAATATATTTGTAAGGTTAATTACATTTTCATTATTATTTTTTTGTTACTTGCATATCCAATATATTTTAAATATTTCTTGCATGTCCATTATTTATTTTTTTAATAGATGATTCAAGCACAGATGTGGTTTGGTGCAATTGGGCAAGGCAAAAAAAGTTTCAACCATCATGAATGTTGGGAGGTGGTGAAAAATTGCAAACGCTTCAGAATAATTCCCACGGGTCCCGCCGTTATGTTAAACGAGACGCCACTCCGTGATTCAATGACATCGGATTCACCTCTCGATTCCCCTATGAGTCAAGACTCACCCATCGAAAAGGAGCCGAGGCCCATTGGCTGAAAGGCTGCGAAGGCAAAGAAAGGGGGTAATTTGAGCAGTAATACATCAAAAAATTTGGAGGAAATTGCAAGTAAGAGTTGAAATGGAGCAGAAACGCCAAGAGAATGAGATGGCAATGCGAGCAGAATATGCACAAGAAAGGGAGTATTTGCGCAAAAAAGAGATGGACAAGACGGATCTGGAAACCATGGCGATGGATACAAGCCATATGTCCCCTGAAACAAAACAATTTTGGAAGCTAGAACGAAGGGATGTTATGAGAAGAAGACTTTTCCAGGATGATGGACCTAGCTACACTGATTGGTTAAATGATCAAAACCATTAAATTAGTTGGCATACCTTTTATGTATTTGTATTTTTCATGTTTTCTATTAAAGTTCTTGTAATTCATGTATTTATTTTAGTAGTAGTAATTCTTAATGACTTGTATTGGCTTTCTTTATTTAATAAACAAAGCATTCAATAAAATACCTTTTTATTCAACATATTCCATACATCAAACAGAACATAATTAAAAGGAAAAACCACAACCAAAGCATAATAAAAAATAATAAAAAACTACAAACAAGGCACAATAATAATAACAAACCACAACCAAACCATAATAAATAAAAAACAACACAACCAAACCATAACTAAATAAAACCTAACCAACGGATCTATGCTCCATCATTCATCTTCATTGCCTTTCACCGCCCATAGATGCTCCATCAAGTCAAGTTAACGCCTTTCATGAATATACGAAGATTGCATCTCTGTATATCGATCTATCATACGGGTCATGAAACGACCATCCCTAACCAACGGATCCAGCTCAAATGGTTCTCCACTTGGCCCCATGGGCCTTTCATAAATTCTTGTCAAGGCCGTGTTCATGGGATCCGGTTCGTAGACCTCTGCAGCATCATAATCATACTCATCCTCCACAATCATATTATGGAGGATGATGCAAGTCATTATAATGCTTCTGAGGACCTCCTCATCAAACATACGGGCTAAACCTCGAATTATCAACCACCGAGCTTGAAGGATGCCAAAACACCTTTCGACATCTTTCCTGTATTTTTCTTGATAGGTAGCAAATAATCTTTGCTTCTGGGATTGTATTGTTGACTTGATAGGTGATATTGGGGCCTTGGCCTCTCAAAACATCGTTGAAGACCGGGGCCCAGCACGTTGAGGTCATTTTGGGATCCAGCAACTCCGAAGAAGGCATGCCAAACCCATGTGTCGAAGCTAGCAACGGCTTCAAGGATGATACATTTTTGGCCTTTTCTATTTTCGTAATCACCTTGCCAGGCAGTTGGGCAATTCTTCCATTGCCAGTGCATGTAGTCGATGCTAACAATCATTCCTGGAAATCCTCGAGATTTGGCTTTTTGTTGAACCCGTTGGAGGTCCCTGGGAGTAGGTCTGCGCAGGTAGTCCCTAGTGTACAGAGTTTCAACTGCATCACAAAATCTTACCAAGGCCTCCAACGTAATGGATTTCCCCATCCAGGCAATCTCATCCACCTGATCAGCAGATGCTCCATACGCCAACATTCGTATAACAGCTGTAAGCTTTTGTTTCGGAAGAAGTCCGAAAACCCCAGCAGAATCACACTTTTGAACGAAGTATGCATCATAATTGCAAATATCATGCATGACTTTATTGAACAAATGGGGTTACATTCTATATCGCCTTCGAAAATCAACATCAGAGTACAAACAAGTTGGGATAAAATAATCTTCCAAAAGATTTTTACCCCGAGACTACCTATGTCTGTCCACATTCCAGCGACGGCCGACTTGTGAACCACGGCGGCGACCTTGGTTCTCTTCATCAAGCAAAGCCACTGCTATGACAACTTGTTCATGTTCTTCTCTCTGCAACATATTTCTTTAATCTGCTCTATGGCTTCTATTATTTGTTTCTCGCTCTTGCCTCTCCAAGCATCTCCTAAAATCTTCCATTTGAGAATGGAGTATGAATTCTAAACTCTCAGAAATGAAAATATAGAAAGATGTGGTGTGAGAGGTATGAGCTGAGCCTCTGGTTTTATAGAAAATTTTGGCCAGATAGAGATGCCACGTGACTTGATTTGATTGGATGAAAATCTTATCTGAAATTTGAAATTTGAATTTTGAAATTCATCCGAAATTTGAACCCAAAAATCTTATCCGGAAATTTTATCCGATTATGAATAGTCTTGACACGTAGGAACCCGAAAATCTTATCCGAAAATACTATCCAAATTAATTATTGAGGTAAAAAAAATTGTGAAAAAAATAAAAAAATGAATAGTAATTGCCCTTTGCCATGGCAACGGGTGGAAACACACAATACTATTTGCAAGGGCAACCACTATTCACATGAATAGTGGCTGCCCTAGCCCCCCGCCCCCTCCCCAAATTGCCATGGCAAGGGGCAAATGGGTGGAGTTGCTCTTAGCCTTCATGGGTGGACTTGCTTCGGGTAAGTTGTGCAGGGTTAACTTTATAGCCATCAGATCAATCCCATGGTTGAACTCGTTATACTACAATCGGGTTGCAATTGCCCGTTTTTGATAGGATTCCAAGGGTGTTTTAGTCTTTGTAATCTTGCCAACCTACTATATTAGGAGGTTAGTCAGCATTAGTTGGTATGTTGAATTGTATTGTGTTTTGAGTAATAGAAATAGTATATTCTCCCTGTACATTTGCGTTAAGGTCGAACGGGTTCTAACAGTTTTGAAAACAACTTCGTCAAGTGAGAGGAACGTTTCTCCCGTGAGCGTGAAGTCTCCATCAAATCCCAAGCTCTCCTCATTCACCACTCCTAGTCCCGTCCGTTCCTCTTCTTCTTTTGCTTCTTCTTCATCTTTTTCTTCCTCTGCTTATTCTTCTGGTAGTTTTGTAATTTAATTTATAGATAATTTGTGAGTTTATTTCTAAATTATAAATTCTAATTTAGTGATTTATAAATTTAGAGTTTCTTAAGTGGTTCCTAATTTCCCCAGTTTAGGGATTAAGTTCAATTCACTGTGCAATCCAGTTCTCTACCCATCCATCGTCATAATCCAGCTCTCCTCAAATTTGGAACCCTAGTTTGACCCTAGCCAAGCCGCCGCAACTCAAGACCCCCGTTGTCGACCTCCACAACGAAGCCACTGTCGCGACTCCAAAGTCAAGCCACAGTTGCGACCTCGGAGGTCACTCTCTAATTCGTTCACCCCAGTAAGATTTCAATCGGTTTCTAGGGTTTTTTTTTTGTGCATCCTGTTGTTGCTATTCAATCTAGGTCTTTCAGTTGAAATGTTTTTGTTTTTGTTTTTCTGGTTTTGATTAATCTGTTTTTGGAATTTTTTTTTTTGTTAGATCGATCCATGTGGAGGCTATGTGCTGGTATGTTTGGTTTGGTGGTTGATTAAATAATTGGTCCCGTCAAGATTTTGCATTAATTTTTGCAAGGTATTTAGTTGATTTGTTGCAATTTGATTACATTTTTTTTCTTGATGATTATTGTTCTGAAATTTGCTCGGATATTAAGTTTTTGTTGATTCTTATGCAATTCTGTAGTTGTATTGTAGTGGATGGAGTTTTGGCATTTGGTAGAACATTTGCTTTAGAAATTGTACTTTGCTATTGTTAATTTAGTCAATTGTGGTGGTGTTTTACTTTAGTGAATTTAGTCAACCAGTATGCAATTGGCGTGATTGTAAGCATTAGTAGAAATAACCTTAATTAGCAGCTTTATGTGTGTCACTTGGTTTGTCCAATTAGTATATGACATAATGCAGTTGGGTATGTCTCAACAGCAGTGATATCTTTTTGCTTAATGTTAATTTTTCCCTTACTGTTGCTTGTGTGACTTGCATAAGGTGTGAATGGATGATATTAGGAAATGGAGTTATTAATTGAAATGAATGGAAATGTGCTTGTTTCTTATGCTATTAGATTTTATGTGAGTGTGATGCTAATCAGCCATTGAAATACACATCTTTTGGTGTTAATATTTGAAGTATTGGAACATGGGAAAGTTGAAAATAGGCATCTTCATGAGATGCATGAGCAAAATTTGAAGTATTGCAAGAGCATTAAGTAGACCTCCCTTGATATGACTTGCTATAAAATGTAACATATGGATTTGATTTCCTTGTTCTAAAGGTGCCCCTGTAGATTATTTGTTTCAATTCATGATTCTCTTACACCTATATAGAAACGAAGGATTGGTTTGTTTTTATTTTATCAGGAATTGTTTGTTGGATCTGTTTGTTTTTTAGAAAATGGAGAATATTGGACTCCTTCAAAAAATTTTGGTTGTTCTGTTCACTATTGCCTTCTTTAGGAAGCTTATAAAGTACATGTGGAGCTTCCTGAGTCAAACAATTCCACATTGCCCCATTTTTTTCCAAACCATCTGATGATTTTTTAATGGTTCTTTTTTTTCCTAATCATGTTCCCGTAATATCACTTTGTACAGGGATAGTTACTTTTCTTCAATCTTATCGGATTAGAATGCAGCTGTTTTTTAGTTTCATTGTTCTGTGTATTGCTGTTATGGATGTTGTAGTTGTATCTGGTTCTGTATTGATGTTGTGGATGTTGTTTGGTTATATTGATTATTGGTTGGTTGATGAAGTTCACCCCTTGAGGTGTTTTGATGTCTGGTTTTGTTCCTCTTATTTAGTTTAACAGTTTCTTTGTGCTTTATGTGTTCCACTTTTTCCTTTTTTCTCTTGTTGGTGTTTTAGGTTAGGAAGCTCTTTGCCAATTAGTATGAGTTTCTTAGGTCTTTTAGTTTCTCATTGCGGTTTTCTTGTCTCAGTTTCTATTTTGTTTTTTTGGTCTTTGTTTCTCTTTTTGCTAATTTCTTGTTTTGCGATTTCCTATGCAGGGTTTTTTTTTTTTTTTTTAAATGATAGTTGGACCTAGATTTTTGACTTATGGAAGATTGTTGTCATTGAGAACCATCATCAATTTGGCGTGGGACAACATTCCATTCTATCACAGGAAGTGTGCTGTAATTATATGGAGAAAAACATGTAACTGAGGAACTATATATTTTAGTCTTGTAATTTAGTCCTCATTCAATGAAATTGAGTTCAATTTACTTGAGAAATTTCAGTCTTGAATTTGTTCTTTTTATATTCGCAAGTGTGTGCAATAGAAAAATACTTTTTTTTAAGAGAACAATGGAAAAATACTTTTACTTATATTATACATTGAAGAGAGAACATTGCATACATTGTGTATTTTGCCCCTGTATTGCCCCCCATAAGAGGGACTGTTGGAGTTCTTTTGTTGCCATTGTATAGCCTCCTATTGCCCTAGTATTGCCATTAAATAGCCTCCAATTGCCTTTGTATTGCCACTATATTGCCCCATATTGCCTTTGTATTGCCACTGTATTTTCCTCGTATCACCTTTATTTTTTAGCCTTTGAATAAAATTATAGAGGGATTATTTTGCTCTTGTATTGCCATTGTAGTGTCGTGGTATTGCCTGGGTTTTGCTAAATATTTTTTGCATTAATTGGTTTGAGAGTCCTCCTTTTTGCCCAATACATAGGCAATATAAGCCATATATAGGGGCAATAAATATGCAATATAAGCCATATATGGGGGCAATACAAAGGCAATACAACGACATCTGATTGCCGTTATATTGTCTTCTTATTGCTCTCTTATTGCTGCCATATCACTTTTTTCACCTATGTATTGACAATTAATAATCTACAACATATTACAAAAAGGACGTGACGTCCTTAATAGAATCACATAAAATTATATTTTTGGAGTTTTATAGTATATAGAATGTCAAAATGATTCCTATTAATTTTCGGTGTATTTTTTGGATTTTTTTTTCATTTATTATGAATTTTGTAAGTTAAATCCTAGAAAATTCTTATTAAATGGTATGGAGCGACACATGGTGGATTTTTATTTTATTTATTATTAGTAAAAAGTAATATAATAATATTTTAGGGTAAATAACAATATAATAACAATTTAGGATAAAAAGTAATAGAATAATAATTTAGGGTAAATAATAATATAATAATAATTTAGGGTTAATAACAATATATAATAACAATTTAGGGTAAAAGGTAATATAATAATCATTTAGGGTAAATAATAATATAATAAATTCACAGTAAAAAGTAATATAATAATATTTTACGGTAAATAACAATATAATAACAATTTAGGATAAAAAGTAATAGAATAGTAATTTAGGGTCAATAATAATATAAGAATAATTTAGGCCTCTGTAGGGGTCTTTTTCTTCCGGCAGCAAGTGGGCTGGGCTGCTGCAAGGAGGAATCTGATGCAAGTGTCCCCTTTGTGTCTGAGTTCGAAGATTAAGCCCCAAAGATGTCTCGAAAGGGTGATGACGCCTTAGGAAACTCGTTGGTTACATTCACCAATGAAAATAACAACAAATTACAAATGAATCTTCTAGCTTGGCATGAATGACTTATGGCATGGGAGCAAAAATTATCATGGGTTTAGCACTTTAGGAGAGAGAGCTGTGGGTTCCTATGAGGTACAGAGGTTCTAATAGAGAGGGAGAGAGGTTCTAAGGAGGTTTGATGAAGAGGGAGAAGGATGGTGAAGAGTTTTGGGTTACTTTCGCAGTTTCCGGCAGCTTGACAGTGACTCTGTCAAAGCTTCTGTCAATCT